TTAATTTCGAGTCCCGGATGGATGTAGATAGGAATTACGCTGCTTTAATATAAAATGATAAAAATGAAAAGTTTACCATATTTGCTCTCAGATTGAGGCTGGTTTATGTCAATATGCTTTCGAGGGGGACGATGTGCTCTTTATTTGCCTAGAAGGTAAGTGTCTGTTATAGCAGTCTGTATTTTGTGGCATTCGTTCGTGGCTTCTGCATGCTTAATATCATGTCCAATTTCACAAAATTAAGCTAATACTTTGATATCTGCTTCAACTGTGCAGCTGGCTAATTTTCCCGTTGCTTTGACCAATGCTGCATCATTTAGTGATCATCTTATCGGGGGTTATGGAGTCGTTTCGTTTCCTGAAGAGGCTGACAAGCCTGGCCAGACAAACCTGCGAATTTTTATGCGTTTTTGCGTATATGCAAATGCAATCATTGGCGACGTGCACTGGGTGAACCCTTGCGATCATGCGTTCTTGCAGTGTTTCGTGCTGCAATAAGATCACTCGAAATTCCGCCTGCTAGAAACCTCTTGTACATACTGATCCTCGAATTTCGGGAAGTTAGTTATCCACGCCATATTTGGACAGGGAACATTCCCTCGAAATCCCAGTCCCCAGCTTTCTCAGTTCTCGACTTACCTAAATTCCAACCAGAAAATTTCACGGAGCCGTCCGTGGCAACCACACATAATGGGGGCTGAATTTGATAAATTCAAGTTGTAGACGAGTTTGAAACATTTCCTGAAAGTTTCAGCCTCCCAGCTTCCCTGGTTCCGGAGTTATCCATTTTCCTGCCAAAAATTTTCATGGGGCCGTATGTGATAACCACGCATAACAGGGAGCTGAATTTGACAAATTTAAGTTGTAGAAGAGTTGGGAACATTTCCTGGAAGTTTCAGCCCTTCAGCTTTATTGGTTCCCGAGCTAGCGATTTTCGCGCCAGGAACCCGCACGGGACCGTACGCGGGAAAAGCGCATAGCTGGGGGCTGAATTTAAATTCTTTGAGTTCTTTATGGACGGGGAACATAATCCCAAAATTCTTGCTTTCTAACTTTTCTGGTTTCCAAGTTGCCGATTTTCCCGCCAAAACATTGGGGCGCTCGTACGCTGGGCTTAGAAGTGCATGAGGATTGGTACTGCGGTCCTGGGGTGGCCCACTCGCAAAATTTTGGCACCGGAGCTTGCTCAGGTGCCAAGTTGAAATACCCGGACAGACGCACACACACACACACACGCACCCAGGGTTGTCACAATATGCGTTTTCGCATTTGCATATGTGCAAAAGCGCATAAAAACGCATACTATAATGACCCCGGTGCGCGCGTGCGTGTGTATGCGTCTGTCCGGATGTTTCAACTCGGCAACCAAGCAAGCTCCCGCGCCAAAATTTTGCCAGCGGGTTCCCCGGCCAAGTGCTACCTCAGGACCGCGGTGCCAACCCTCAACCATGTCTGGGTATGGCGTACTGTCGCGTGAAAGTTTTGGCGGGAAAACCGCTAATCGGAAACCAGGAAAGCTGGGAGGCTGGAATTTTGAGGCAATGTTCCAAGCCCACGTACGAGTTGAAGATTTCAAATTCAGCCCCCAGGTTTGCGTGGCTCTTACGTCCATGCGAGAGTTTTTGGCGGAAAAATGCTTTAACTCGAGGACCAGTGAAATTGGGAAGCTGAAATTTTGACGGAATATTCCCGGCCCCAATGTAGTTGCACAGTTAACTTTCTGAAGCAGTATGTCACAAATTCTAGCTAGTGGGATTCCAACCAATCTTACTGCAGCACGAAATATTGCAAAAACGCATAATCGCACGGGCCCGCCTAGTTCGCGTTGCCAGTGATTTTTTTTCGCAAGTCTTCCTTCACAGTCGCTAGCACTATTAGTTGCTAGGCACATTTGTGTTCCGGATGTAGCTTTCTGAGCTCCTCCGATCAGTTTGCTTTCGCATCGTTGTCGCCTCTTCAAGAACTGTCCGAGTGGTCAGTTTCTGCGTTTGCGGTACTTTGTGATCAGCGACGTCTGCCGGTGACAGCATTTCCTGGCAATAATCCAAATGGCCAGATACCTCGCTTGTACGATTCTGTATTCCTTCACTTTCAATGATTATCAGAAAATGTGTCTAATTTTTGGTCGCAACGAAATCCTAAATTTTTTTTTGTATTTTTTTCCGACAGAAAATGTTATTTTTCAGGGGAATTGTTCTATCAAGCATGAGCCCGTCCCTACGTGGTGCGATGATCGTATTCGAAGGATGCGATCGTGCAGGCAAGAGCATACAATCGAAGAAGTTAGTCGAACGTATCAAATCAACCGGTGCAAATGCAGATTTAATAGCCTTCCCAGGTTGTCACACTGTCCGAGTTTGCTTCTCAGATACCTCGCATTCGCTTTCGCACTGAACTCGTTGGAGATGATCAACGACGCATCGGACTCGAATTGTTGCCCCTGATTGGGAGCAGGATAGAGGAGAGGGACAAGGGTGCTAGTCAGGAGTTCGAGACGATAAATGGTGACAATGGTTGAGTTGGTGGGTGCTCAGATTCCGTTCTAGAGACAGGGTTTGGAGCAAGATAGGAGGGGGAGGGGTTCCATCTTTCTATAACCATTTTATCCTTACATTGCTATCAGGGGGTTTTTAGACGAAAACTATAGCTCTGTAGAGAATTTCAAGGTTTTCGGGGTATTCCCACCCATTCCGTACTGAATCTGCCGTCTGTGTTTACAGTTTAGTGATGAAACACAGACTGGACAGCAGCTAATGTACAGACAGGCTCGCTTATCTAGGCATCTGAATTGGCACTCACTGCTTTCCCACAGTTGACAATATTCGACTGTGTCCCTTTCATCGGCTGGCCTACAGTG